CGGTCTTGGGCCATGGCAGGCCAGGTGGCTTGCAGGAGCTGAGAAGGAAGTGTGGTAGAGAGAGCTTGGACTTTGGGACGTGCCAGGAGACAAGCGGCCAGGCTGGCGCAGGGGATCTGGCCCGGGGCTTGGATCTTGGTGGTTGCGGCACCCCTGCTGGCCACAGGCAGCCATCCAACCAAGACGCCCATCTTCCTACTACTCCGCCCCACCCCTAGGCCAAGGCAGTGGGAAGTCAAGGGCCTTGGTCTTCCTCCCTTATTGCCAGCCCCTTGGCTTGAGTCCGAAGTCGCTGGCTCAGCTCAGAATGTGGGTTGAAACCAGGCTCCACGTCCAGGCCCTGACTGCTAAGCGTAGCACTCTGCCCACTTGCTTGGTGCCCTCTTCTTAAAAGAGGGGTTCAGCATCACCAAGTTTTGGGCTACTGTGTGTTGGCTCCCAAGCACCCCCCCAGCTCCCAAAACTTGAGGTGCCTGGAGCCTTCTTTCTCTTTTGCCTCCTATTCAGGGAAAAGGATGCTGAATGAGAGAACCTAGGGCTGGGGTGGAGGGTCTCCTGGGGATGAAACTGCCACCCCAGAGGGGCCGTGGCTGAGCTACCCTGCCTCCAGTTCTCCTAGCCTAGACGGAGGGATGACCTGCTGGCCAGGAGCGTCACGGGTGCTCAGCGAGGCACCTCACTGCCAGATAATACCCACTCTGTCCACCTGCGCCTGCCTCTGCCCCAAACGGAGACACAGCCCCCACTGGCTGTGCGCAGCCACTCTAGCCCCCCCTTTGGCTAGAGTTCATTGTCTAGCACAGCCTTCCATCACGAGCTCTCCACCAATGGGCCTGACTTCCTGGCTCTCCCTCCCTGCCCAGGTTGGATCTAGGTTTGCGAAGAACACCCAGGGCCATGCCATGGAAAACAGGCTCCTTCCAGTCCCTGGCACCCTGAAGGGTGGCAGCAACTCTTTTCTTCTTATCCACACAGCCTGCCCAAAGAGCTCAGTCCGGCCCCCATCCTGTTTCTGGGACTCCCGGGTCTGCCTGGGCCGTGGTGAGGGCACCATTTCCTTCCTCAGCAAAGCCTATGGAGGCCTTAATTGTGATTAAACACTGAGGTCACAAAGCTGAATCAGGCACCACATCTGCCCTGGGGTGCTCTAAGTCAAGCTGGTGACAGGGTGTGGGTGTGGGGCAGCTGAGCCTATGGACAGACAGGTGCAAATCCAAACAGGAGGGGACAGGTCTGTGCAGGGAAGGGGCCGGGAAGGGGGCCGAGGGGCACTCAGAGGGGTCATCAGGCAACAGAGGCCAACTCTGTCATTGTGTGGATGGGGAGACAGAGGCCCAGGCTGGGGAAGTGGCGCGGCCCAGGGCGCTCTGTGAGGTAGCGGCAGGCTCTCGGATTCCCGGTCCCCAGCCAGGACCCTTCTGACCACACCGCGTGCCCCTTCTGGTTTTCTGCGTCCCGATCCTTGTGTCCACTTTTGGAAGAACACTGGACATCTCTCTCCCACGGTCACCCACGAGGTGCCCGCCCAGGCCCGGGAGCCGGGCACCGCCAGTCCTCCGTGCAGAGGTGGCACGGCCTCCTCTTAGGCCTAGAATGGGGTTGGTTGCGTTTCTCTCTCTCTCTCTCTATCTCTCTTGCGTTTTTGTGAATCTAATGATGAACTTATGCTACCACACTTTTCCCTTTTCTTACACACCTTACCTACTAAAGGAGGAAGTGCCACTTTATTGGTAAGTGGACGTTAACCAAGAGGGACTTAAAAAATCAGAACTTAAAAAAAAAAAAAAAGAAAAGAAAAAGAAAAAAGCAAAGAGAGAAACAGAAAGACAGTCGGGTGCTACTGACAGCTCCACAGCTCTCCGCAGGGCCGGAAAACAAAGAAAAATATTAACAGAAAAACGTCAGGTTCCCCAGGAGTTCAGACATTGTTTTTGATTTTGGAATCTAATGACATTTGTGGATTTTTTTTGGTCGTTTTTTTCTTTCTTTTTTTAATTTGTTTTTCCTCCCTTTCTTTCGGTTTCAGTTTTGAGTTTCAGTTGTC